GGTGCTGATCCCCGTTTCCAAGCCATAGAGCCAGCGTTTGTCCGAAGACAATCTTCCGTGGTCACATGGCCAGTGCGACTTAGACACGGAACGCTGTTACCTTCCCACCGAGGTGGTCCCTATTTATCTATTTGCATTTGCATGCTTTCGAACCGCTAGGTTGGCGGAAGCTGGGACAAGCGACGGGCGCTCACTCCGTTGTGTGGATTCGATCTTACGACTGCTTGGTCTTCTGACCCTGCAGCACAGGCTTCTGCGGTTTAGCCCACAGCACCACCACATCCCTGTTATCCACCATGTCCCTGTTATTTATTTATTTACATTTATTTATTTACAGTTAGGTTTGTTTAACAATAATAATCATGTACCATCAAGTCAGTTCTCACTTATGGTGACTCTTTTCAGGGTTTCCCAGTTAGAGAATATTTAGAAGTGGTTTACCATCCCTTTCTTCAGGGGGGCGCCCTGGGACTGTGTAGCTAGCCCAAGGCCACATAGGCTGACTCTACTCACAGGAGGCCCAGTAAAGGATCAAACTCCCAACCTGTGGCTCCGCATCGAGACACTTAAACCACTAAACTATCCAGTAGTTTTATTGATTTTATTGATTACATTAATTTTTATATCGTATTGTGTTGTTTATTTAATGTGTTTTAGTATGAAAGAGCAGATACGGATTAAATAGTTTTCAATGCATTCCTATGGGAAATGCAGATTCAACATAAGAACTTTTCAACTTGAGAACCACTTTCCAATGCGGATTAAGTTCTAAAGTAGAGACCCCACTGTACATTAATTTTTATATCGTATTGTATTGTTTATGCAATGTGTTTTAGTATGTCTATGTTGTGAACCGCCCAGAGAATGCTTGCACTATTGGGTGGTATATAAACTAAGGTAAGCTAAATTAAAAGTTTAAACAAGCAAACAAGTTAGAGTCAGGGAGGGGTAGTCACTGATTGCACAGGAACATTGCTTGCTCATGAACATCTCTGGCCATCCCTTCCCAGGGAGGTCTGAATGATTATAGATTAAATAACCTTAAAATTGGAAGCTTAACATCAATTTATTTATTAATGTAAAAATTATACAATGCCTCATTATGTTTCTTTTCCTATAGCTTAAATAATGTTTTGCTTTTCGGAATAAATCTTTCTTTTATGTAATAGTTACTGGGTAGCCACTTTTGCTGCGTGCCAGTTTAGGGCACTCCAGAACATATTGGTGCCATGCAACCATTTCAGAAGGAGAATTCGTCTTCCTTTATTTTCTTAAATTGGGTGGGTATCACAGGCTGCTTTCAGTCTTCTGAAGACATCACAGATTGTACAAATGAAAAACCCCAAAGTCTTAAGTGTTTGAAATCAGTAGCTGTGTTAACATTAATTTATTATATGAATTATAAAGTCTTAAGTGTTTGAAATCAGCAGCTATGTTAACATTAATTTATTATATGAATAAATTATTCATATAATTTATTCATATAGCCGCCTAGAGTGGTCGAAATGACTAGATAGGCGGGGTATAAATACAATAAATAAATAAATAAGTAAGTAAGTAAGTAAGTAAGTAAGTAAGTAAGTAAGTAAGTAAGTAAGTAAGTAAGTAAGTAAGTAAGTAAGTAAGTAAGTAAGTAAGTAAGTAAGTAAGTAAGTAAGTAAGTAAGTAAGTAAGTAAGTAAGTAAGTAAGTAAGTAAGTAAGTAAGTAAGTAAGTAAGTAAGTAAGTAAGTAAGTAAGTAAGTAAGTAAGTAAGTAAGTAAGTAAGTAAGTAAGTAAGTAAGTAAGTAAGTAAGTAAATAAATAAATAAATAAATAAATAAATAAATAAATAAATAAATAAATAAATAAATAAATAAAATTATATGAATCTTTGACAGCCTCACATAATAACTTGCTGGCTCCTTTTGTCGAGTTGTAGCTGTTGTTTTACCTCAACCTTATAATTAATTCATTGGAGTGAATTTTGCGTCTTACGAACCTTATATTAATGGGCAAATTCTGAGTATGTTTAGTGAAATGCAAGTAGAAATTTATCGTGAGTACCTCTTGATTATTCTGAATCTATTGCCTTTTCCAAGTAACCATTTTCTGTTCTTGTTTTCGCATATAGGAGCTGATACCTTGAGTGAGACGAGCTCTATTAGCATCGCGGCCACGACCGAGAGTAGAGAGACTTCAGTGGCTACCTCCATCTTGTCCCCCTTCACATCTGGCCATAGCCGAGATGAGGCAGACAATCGCAGTGAGCACAGCTACAGTGAGTCGGGAGCCAGTGGCTCCTCCTTTGAGGAACTGGAGTTGGAAGGCAATGGTGATGGAACGGAAGGCTCTGTTGAGGATCAGGACACCACCAATGCCAAGTGGACCAAGGAGCCTATTGTCCTGGAGAAAGAAAGGAGTGAAGAATAAAGCTGTCTCTTTAATCATATTTCTTGGGATTGGAAATAGAAACTGATCATCTCGATTGCTTCTTTTCTGTCCAACCAAAATATTTCGATCACTGTTCTGTGTTGAGACTTGTCCTACTCTTTGTCTGCAGACAAGTATTTGGGATGTGAAGAGAGGATACATCCGGGGGTAATCATGGTTGGTTGCTAGTGTTCTGTAGCCAGACATAAGAATGTGTAATGTAATAGGAGGCCGGGAGTAGGATGACATGTAATGGTGGTGGGGAGCTCGTGTATTGAACAGTACAGTATAGTGTATTTCAGTGTGCGTGAAAAAGAGGGAGAAGGTGTGTAGATTATTGTGCCTGGAAAACTCTGCGTAGACTGGCTGTGTCTCTGTATGGATGCCCCTTTGCATTTCTTTTTCTCTTCTTGTATTCTTCGCTATTCATCCCATTTAATCAGCCTATTTGTTAGCAACTTACAAACACTGATTGGCATCACATCTATTATCAACAAAGATCAGTAGTTATATTTGACACAGAAAAATGTGGTGAAGCCCAGTAATCATTAGGCTGACATTGCCTTTCCATATGATATGTTCTGATAATTGTTTCTGTTTGAAAGGTAAAAATGTATGAGCAGGGTTACTGCAATCTACAGGTACTCATGTTGCTTCTGATTCCTTTTCACTATTCCTTACATGCCTGTGCAGCCTGCATTCCATGTTTCTCTTTCAGATTCTATAATCCCGAAGTTCTTTTTAGTTACAGTTGTTGCACCCATTCGTTACTGTTGGTATAACTCGAGAGAACTGAACTTGATTCTTATCTAGCTTTTGATGTAACAGAATCCTTTTGGAAGAAAGGTGCACCACTGTTGACATGAATGATGTCTTTTTCCAACAGAAAGAGAGTAGAGAATGAGCAATATTACAGAGCCAAAGAGCAATATCACTGCAGAAATGACATAGCCATGTTCTCTGTATGCTCAGGCATAGTGAATAACCTGGAGTGGCGTCTCAGGCATAATGATAACAGTAGTGGATATGATTTTATGTTTGCCAGTGCTAGAAGTTTCCAAATTTTGTGACTTTGAAATGCTCATGTAGTCTGCCCTTATGCAAGGTTAACAATTCCTACAACTTTGATTACAGCATAATCCTAAGCAGGATGAAAGGAAGATGGTCTTCACCTTGCACTGGCAATATTTTTGAATGTTGGGTCAATTGTGTCACCATCCAATTCGCTGGGCACCAGATCAGATTTTTCACTGCTGTATCCCCTATTAAAGCTCTTGTAAGGAACTGGTTGATGAGAGCCATGTTAGATCATCTGAATTTTCAGTGTTCCATTACTACGGCTTGAGGATGTCATCAAGACAGTTAGAAGAAAAGCATGCTGATACCTTTAGAATAAGAGGTGAAGTACTGAAATATTCTGATCCTCCCTACCCCATTCTTGCTCCACTTGCTTACATCCTCTCTGTGGAAGGCTTAGATCAATGGCTCACTCTGTTTCTTAATGGATGTGGATCCATATAGTGGACAAAGAGGTTTGACATTCAGCCATCTTCAGGTCTGCCTTGTTTCTGAGCATTGACTAAGCTTGGAGGGAAATCAATGGGATGCAGTGTTAGAACATTTCCCCTTGGGCTGTGTAGTTCACAAGGCTACTCAGCTCCCCTTTCCAAACAATCACCATTGATTCCTTATTTTCTTCTTTATGCTTTTGTTGCTGTGGCCTATAAGATTTCTAGTTCTCCTTTGACTCTCTGTTCCTTGATGTTTGAATCTATATTCCTGTTCTGCAGTTCTGATTTATCATGACATCCAAATCAACAACTCCACTTTAGCTGCAGTGCCTCTGAAGCTAGAAGGGCTGATAGAAGCAAACACATACGTATTCCATATATGGGGAACTGGATATGCTTCATCCCTATTGTGCCTGGATTCTGCAGATCATTCCTAGGCTAAATGCCCAGATATAATTGGAGGACTTTCTAATCTGCCTGGATATTATTACTGTACTTTACCTACTGGCTGAACAGATCTTACATTTTATATAATAAATGAAATTACTTGAATGAATGTTGTTATAACTGCCCCATTTAGGCACTGCCTGTTCAGTGGCTACCCATGTGCCTGTTACTGAATAAGGCTCCCTCACTAATTTAGAATTCCAGTTCACTGTGTGTCTGTATGTGTTTGTGTGCAAATGGGTTTGCATATCCATATGTTCCTTTGGACATGTGTGATAACATGCGTCCTTGTGTTTCTGTGCTTGTTACTTGTGTGCAGAAACCAATATGCATTTGTGGCTTCAGAACCAAACTAGTTCTCAAACTATTTATGTAATTGCTGATTTTATGAACGGTGTCTCATCTAGCTTGGTCCTCATACTGTGCTTTCGTATGAATTAGCTTCTTTCTTTTTTTCATAGTAAGGGTGCAAAATAAAGGCAATAATAGTAGGAACAGCTGGAGGCATATAGATAGAACTGTAGCATGCTTTCCCTGAGATTTCATTTGACAGATAACAAGAATGTGATTCAGTCTGTATTCTGCTGGATTTCTTTGTGCTTTTTGTTTGTTTTGTAGGAAGCAGGGAAGGAGATAATATTTCTTTTTCTCACATTCTGTGGTATTGGATGCAAGTATCAAAGTCTTCTAGCTTATATATGGTGGTGTGTGCATGTGCCTCTTATTATGCTCATGTGTAGTTGTGGATAGTGCACATCCTCATCTATATTGCCCTGAAGGCGCACACATTTGTATCCATGATTGTATCCTGCATCTTTTCTTGCATACAAGTAGAATATGTGTTCATTTATACACCCTATGCATTCAGCCCTTTCTTCTGATGTACTCTGGTAGAAGTGGATGTGATGCCAATTTCTCAATTATACAGGTGTGTATAAGACAGTCAAGGCAGGCATGAGGTACTCAACCTCTATCTGATTGTATCAATTCATGATTCTTATGTAGGATTGCTCCCACATCAAGTATTGTGCACTTGGGAAACAAAAACTTAACAGAAATAGGTGTCCCCTATTCATATGTAATTATTTCTGGAATAATTACCTGTGTGGAAGAAGCCATAGCCTAATGTTCTGCTTGGCTTGTAGGCTTTCTGCATACCAGGAAGTTTTGACAAGAAATATATTTTCAAGGAAATAACTCCTCACAGACATTGTGGAGTGCCTGTTCTTTTAAAAGAAATGTACTCAGTGCCTGCCTGACCAGTTCAGTGCTTCAAGTAAGAGCCTTTCATTAGACTGTGTTCTCTTGCTGACTGAATGTTAGCTCTTCTTACCCATCTTTGAATATGAGCACCCCTTGCCCTTTTGTCCTTCTTTTTCCTGAAAGCAGCCTGAATAAGGTTTTGTTTTGAGCTGGAGACAGGTGAACAGCAGGAACAAGGATGCCTGGGGTACTCAGAGATAGCTGTGAATAATATCTGAAGCTGGAATTCTGCAGGAAGCCACTGTGCATGTTCAATGCTGGAATGAGCAGTTGGGGTGTTCCTTACTGTGGCTCTTCTGAGGTGGGGAAGTGACCCTCAACTGTCCTCAACCTGTGTAGGCAGTGGCAGCAATCCACAGGCCATTTATTCTGGAGGAGTTGTGGTGATTTAACCAGGCTACTGTAGATTTCAGTAATCATTCTTTGCAGTTTTAATATTATAGTTAAACATCCAAATTAATGAATTGACTGCATACTGTCATGACATGGACTAAGAGCAGCAGAAAGCACTGAAGCAGCTGTGCTTTTCTTATATTAGTATTCCCCATGACTGGTTTGTTTTTTATAAGAAGCAAAGTTGGGAAAAGATAAACATTTGGATGGTAACTCCCAGAATACCCCATCAGCTGGGATCTTCAGGATGCTGTACTTCACCATCAGTAAAGAGCTATCCAGCTATCCATGACCCCTTTAGAAGTGTGTGTCTGATGTAGTGTCTGCTTCCTTTAAAATCCTCCTTTCTCCATGAAAGGAATGCTTCAGGCATTTTTTCACACAGCCCCCTTTCTCAAAGAGCTGAATTGCCAGAAACATAACTGGAGCGTCCTCTTAATAGGCAGTTGCCTGGTAATCTGCTCTAAGATGCCCTGCTTGTTCTGTGGCTAGCCTGGTATTTTTTTTCTCTGTGTGTGTCTTTTGGCACTAGCTATAATTGGGGAGGGACTGGGTGACGGGATGATGAATAAAATTACCATCCATCTGTGGTGAAAATACATCAGAACATCTCAAGAACAACAAATGTTTCATCTCTGCAGTTCTAACTACACTGTTGACACAGTTTGGTTCACAAATTAATTACAAATAGAGATGTGCATTTTGGATTTTTTTAAAACTACAAATCCCACAGTTCTCCTTTCTGGGAGTCTCCTCTGCAGAATCCAGATCTTATGGACACCTAAATTGTGTTCAACTGGAGAGAAGTCCCACCTAGCAGGCTTCATGCCTTGGATAGGCTTCCTGTTAAAAAGGAAGCTGCCCTAATGGTTGCTGGGAAGCTTCCTTTCAAATAGGAAGTTAAGCCTATCCAAATGATAAAGTCCGACAGTTGGGCCTTCTCTCCAAGTGAGCACAGCTGAAGTGTCTGTAATGTCTAGTTCTGGCTGATGGAACTCCCAGAAAAGAGAATTATGGGATCGGTAGTCCAAAAAAACCCAAAATGCATATCCCTGGTTACAAATGCTTTGTAGCTTACAGCTGAAATAGAATGGAATATTATGAAAATAATGTACATGGACAGAGTGAGATAAAAAAAGATCTGCCATTCTAACTTTATTGTTGCCTCTTAGGACATTTTAGAGATTAAAGCCATGCAGCTTTCCTGACATCTTCCTTTATTAAGCCCAACTATCCACTGGTGTCAACATTTCACTTTCATTAGTATAAGTTAGAGTGTCATTACGAAAATTCTCACTCACTTTTTAACAGATCTGTGGTGCATGATCAAAAGCCTGTTGAAGCTCACAAGAGCCTGTTATTAATCATTCTGAGGCCGTGATATGGGATGAGAATAGTCTAGGGGGCCAGAAATCTAAACAACAAATAAATAGCTTTGTAAGATCTTTAGACAATGCAAAAGGGACTCATTTTTTTAGGTTATTGCCAGTTATAACAGTGAAGATTTTGAGTCCTTACCAAATGTTCCAAGCATTTTAATATTTGCCATTTTCTCTCATTTGCTTTTCTTTACTTTTTTTTTTAATACCTCCACCTCCTTTATTCTGTCACAACATTTTCAGCCATAGAAGTAGATAAACTGGATTAAACTGTTTATAGCAAGAAAAGAATGCTAAGTGTTCTGTACACATCCCAATGAGCTCCCACAGTACAAATGGGGCCAAGATCCATGATGGTTAGTCTTGTACCATCCTTCTAGAGTAATGGTGGGTCTGAACTCCCTCTTCAGTGTCCCTTTCTTTTCTTCAAAGTTATACTCAAACTTTGTTTCATAGGTACGTAAAAGTTGTAGCATACAAAGTTGTAGGATTCTAAATCGAAATTTAAAAACCTCATAGGGTACATATTGGCCAAAATCCTATTATGTACATCCACTGACATAAGTCCATTGATGTCAGTCTCAGTGGTGAATCACCACTCCTTAAGTTAGTGCAGATATTTGTGTTGCATAGTAAGCACATGATTGTGCATGCAACAGCAAATGCCTGTGTTGAATTCTTAACTAGAAGCAGTTTACTTCTGAATGTTATGCTGATGGACTTGGGCTGGCATAATTTGTTATTTGGATTCTGGCCATTAATGATTTGGAGACCATAGAACTAGTTTATGGTCTTTTTTCTTGTACAAGAGAAAGCTTACAAAACTGAAAATGATTGTCTCTGTGTGTATTTGTGGGTATGCAGGAGGAGGAACTATGTTTGGATTTGAAACCTACAGATTGTCACTGATTGAGCAGCCTGCACTGAAGAGTGAAAAGAACTGACAGCCCGTTGCTTGTTACTTGTTAAGATACTGGTAAAGCTGTTAGAGAAGTTTGGTTTTTAGTTTGGTCCTAAAATGACACCCTTATTCTGTTATGTATTTAATCACCCTGTTGGTATAATATACTGTATAAGGCTTAAAGTGATCTATGTGCCAGATTGGTTTAGAAATAGGTGGGGGCTTAGAGATAGGGTGGGGTGAAATCCTTGTTGAAATTAAAAGTGGCTAACAAAATGCAAGCCCCTGTTCTCCACAGTTTGTGAACACCCAAATCTGCAAAACAGTAACTGTCCGATCCATAGTGGAAGTAGACCATGTCTTACAATTGATAACCTGGACCACTTTCAAGGACACAAGTTATGTGTGATTGTTACAATGTACAGATATATTGTATATCGGGCAATGTCCTTGTAATCATATGTGGAAGGTTATGACTTCCTGGTATTTCAAAATGTATGGAACTGAATAAGTTTTTGCTCCCCCCCCCCACAAAAAGAGCCATGTTGCATAAGATCAATGGTGTGTTTAGTCCAGCAATTTTCCTGCAATAGTCGCCAACTAGAGTCTATGGAAAGTTCATTAAAAGGTATTGAGCACAATAATACACCACCCCTCACTCATATTCTCCACTACTTGGATTCAGATATGTTGGAAGCAATACACAGTCATCGTAACAAGTAGCTATTAATAGTCTTATTGTCAATGACGATGTCCTATAGTCCATAATCAGACCATTGGCCCAACAAGCCTAGTATTGCCTACTCTGATGGTTAGCAGCCGTCTCAAGATCTCATGTAGGTAACCTAATTGGAGATATTAATGATTAAGCTTGGGCCATTAGGGCTCCACCTAATAGAATCTGGAAGAAAATCTGATGGCACGGCCTTTGAATGGATGCCTCAGTCAACCTATTCCTTACTTGTGGATGTATGTAAATGGGAAGAAGTATTTCAGAAACAAAGTGCCTTGAAAACACCAGTCTCATCCAGTTGTGGAAGCTATAAAAAGTTGGGCTTCTTTAGTAATTGGATCGCAGACCCACCACATAATATCAGAAATCTCCAGTAAGGTTAGGAAAGAATCATGACTAAAGTCCCTACTGGTCAAGAGTCAACAGTGCTGATCTAAATGGACCAGTGTTCTGATTCAGTGTAAGGCAGCTTTTTGTGTTTAATTTTTTGCACACATCTCCAGAATTATATCAATTGATCAAATGGAGTCTTAAGCCTTTTCAGGTTGCACATCACTGATCTAACCAGATGGCCAATTTAATGACAGAATGCACCATTCATGAATATTCTGCACTTCTGTTGGGCCCTGCATTGCCCTGCTACAGAACAGGTGTTACTGGCATGAGGTAGGGCTGGCTGTAGGCAAGGTAGTACTAAGTTTGCCCACACCCCCAAGGGTGTAACAGCAGCAGTGGTTGGTTTATTTTTAAGCATTTAATTTTCTTTTCCTGGAGGCACCTTGGAACCATATGGGATGTGTGAAATCATGTGGGACTGGCATCCACCTAACTCGTGTCTAACAAGGAGTTTGAAAACATGGGTGAGCCAAATCCACTGCAAGTGGATCTTTGTCAGTTGCCTCCGGATATTGGGTGTTGATGCTGGGTTTGCAGTGGGGAATTAGTTTCCTTCCAGTGTGAATGCAGGTGAAGAAAGCTTCCTTCACGTCTAAGATGACACAGCATCCCTTCCTAATTCTTGAAGAATTATTAAAGGAAACCGGAGAATGACCTTTGCAGCGAGTCTTTTTGATGCTCTGTCATTTGAAAGGGTTTGAAATGTCTTATACTTACCATGAAAAGCCTATTATAGTGAAAAGAAGTGAGGGGAATAGTGTGTAATACCACTGCAGTAGAAGAGAGGAAGATGGCACCTAATTTGAGTTGGGGCATACAATTAATCGAAAACGCAAGCTACCATATTATGTGACTCCAGGACTAAAAGAGCTGCTGCATGCTTTCATGCACAGCAATGTACTGCAATATTTCATTGGAGGGTCTGTCAAGGGTTCTTATGGCTCTCAACAATATGTTGTGACCTCTCTCATAATGAAACCTGAGCAAAACAGATCTTGGTGCTGGGAAAGGCATTCTAGTTGGCTCTCAATTTCCCTGATACATAATTGCTTGTGGACTGCATCTAAAAACATGGGAGAATGGATGGACAACTCGGCAACCGTCTCTAAATGCCAGAAGACAGTTGCAGAAGCAAGATGCAGGACACAGGTGACGCCAAACACTTGACGCCACCATCTGTAGAGGGGGAGCTGTCCTGCAAAAGAATTAAGGGTAAAAGCAACCGTAAGGCTTATTGCTGATACAAATTCCTTAGAAAAGTTGATTGGACTGAGGGAAACTGAAAATGTGGGAGTTTCACAGCCAGTTCTCACTTGACATTCTGAACTATGTTACGCATGTCTAACTACAACTGATGTTTTGTGTGCAGAAAGCCTACATGAAGATACCATTGCTCCTTTTCCTGCAATGCAGTGGGAGTCAGCAGGCACAGGACGAGCTCTAGAACACTTTTTGTTCCAAAACGGATTCCATTTGCCTTGTCTATTTCAGTGGTTCTCAAACTGGCGTCTCCTGATGTTCTTGGACTGCAATTCCCAGAAGCCTTCACCACTTGCTGTGTTGGCCAGGATTTCTGGGATTTGCAGTCCAAAAACATCTGGGGACCCATGTCTGAGAACCACTGGCCCATTTCACCTTCTCAAAGCTTTTCCAGAGTCTGGCATGAGCATTGAGCTCACTGTGTTTGTGAAGGACACAAATGCATTCAGAGTTGTGAAATCCCCAGCAAATAAAGCACTTTGGGAATTTATCTCCAGACTGAACAAACGGCATTTAACAATTGCCACATGAGGTTTCATGTAAATAGGCATAAAAGAATCAATCTTGACTTCATCTGTAGGCTGGCACCAGTATCATGTCCTATGTATGCTTGTAGGTTTTCCTGTTCTAGAAAGATCTCGGAGTCTTTACATAGAGCTTGTGCTAAAAACATAAACCCTGTGTGCTACAGGAGTGAGAAAAGCAAGTCCTTCATTTGGATGGTAATAAAACAAAGGGATAATAGTGTCACATGTAGTGCTGTTACATTTAGAAGAAAGGGTACAGTTCAGGCTACGCGATCTTTAAAAAGGTTAGCACAGAACTGCAAAAGGCAATTAAAATGTTCAAAGGGCTGGAGCATTTCTGTGATGAGTTAGAGCTACATAGTGTTGGTCTCTTTCATGGCAGAGGGGAGAGGGTATGAAGGAAGTTTATGAAGCTAAACTGCATGAATGGTATGACTGGGAAAGATTTCCCCCCCCTCCTTTTTTCCTCCCTAGTACCACCACCTTGTTTGGTTTTATGGAAGTCTCGGAATATCTGTTGCAACAGTGACAGAATGAATGGAAAAGGCAAGTTGGGTAAGGCTGCCGGTGAGAGAAATGAGTGGGTTTGTAGCCCAAGAGACTTAATAAGAGTTACGACAAAGCTACATTCATAAGTCAGTCAAACTACCAGTGGAAACCATCTGCTGGATCCTGTGCCTGGGAGGAAGAGAGAAAACAGCACAGAAAATATGAAGAGAAACTCCTTCACTGTTCCTGGCAACTCTGGCACACATGCACCCAGAAAATCAGGAAAATCTGTGCTTTATATTGGTCTGGGGATGATCATGGTACAGTTTTAGAGGGGGCAATTATCCTGGAAATTATATAAACTGGAGTTTTGAATTTGCACTCCCATTAATGCTAGTGAAAGGAACATAAAAGGGGAAGATGCACCAGTGACAGCCCCCTGCCAAACCATCCCTCCACCCCTGTCTTGGAACTAATATAAGCTAGCAGAGCAACAGAGATAGCAGGAGGTGTACCCACTGATGC